AGCAGCGATCGCTGCCCCCCGGCCAACTCTCCCCAGTTCATATACTGAGCGTGACGTCACATGGTATGGAATACCCCTTTGGCCAGCGGGGTCAGCTCTCCTGGCTGTGCCCCCTCCCAGCTTCTTGTGCACCTGGTTTTGGTCTCTTGCTACAGTTTAAGAAACTAATGAAATTACAGAGTAGTAGTACAAAGTACAGAGTACAGACATGATGTACGGACCTCTCATACCTCCTATTGTGGCATTAAATCAATACCTGCTCAACGGAGCTGCATAAAAAGAGTATTTCAACTAAGAAGGTCTCATCTGAGCCAAGAGCTCTTGTTAAACTTAATCCTCCATCACAAGGAATAGAGTATTAGTTACTTAAGTTGATATTGAAATAGTCATCCAAAAAGCTGTTAAAAAAAAAGATGCTGATGAATTTATTACCTGAATGAGAACTATTTACAGTAGTTACAATTTACAATAGTACAACATCTCTTCTCTTTTAATCTCTATGGCAGGTTTAGTTTTTGCAGAAAACAGCAAAAATTATAACCAGTTAGCAAGATCAAGACATTTGTGAATCTTATTCTGCAGCCAGTTTATTTATAACATTGAGAAATGGTGTAAGTAACCCCCCTGCACATAAAATGTGACAGTTTATTGTGCTGTGAAATTTAACGATGCTAAGAACTGAGTGTAATTGATTTATAATTCATGTGAAAGTTAAAAATGATGACCTAACAACTTTAAAACGTAAGTATTTTGGCTTGCTAAACATTTGGAGTTTTCTTTGCGTAATGCTTTATCTTTTTGCTTTATTACCTCTTTAAAAATGTAATTTCATTGTTTCATGAGTTTACTATCACTTTCCCTTAATTGTATTTTTTTTTAATTCATGTTTATAGGCTTTGTCTAGACAAGTCTGATAGGCTCCATTCATTTCTGTAGCGAATTTTTAATAAGAGGAGGCATTTTTATATATTAAAATTTTTTAGTAACCAAAAAAGAGACTCCAATCACATGTTATTTGATTCCTCACATAAATGATTTCTCCATTATGATACTTGAGTTTTACAAGGTAATGGGTGAATTTTTTCTGTGATTTTTTTTTCTTTTTTTCTTTTTAGTTATTTAATTACTACCCATTCCTTGGATTCCTCCTCAAACCTCACAAAATGATACTGAAAAAAGTAGAAGAGGTGTGTGTAATCTTAAGGAAGTGCATCAAGGAAAGCAAAGAAAGAATCGATGAAAACAACCTGACAAGCTACATTGATGCATTGGTATTCAAACAAGAGGTATTTTAACAATATGATGACTCCTAGTGTGCTGTCTTATACAGAGGTGCTCTGTGTGCCTTGTCTAATGAACATGCTCTACTGCAGTCTATATGAAAATATTTAAATTTTGGGTAAACATCCTCTTATTTTAATACGCTAAATACTGCATACTGAACGAAAAGCAAGAAATAATTAACTAGACCGTATCGCATGAATGTCTAAAACTTGTCCTCAGGTGTCAGCTACAGTCCCTTCCTTGCTGGAGAGAGAGAGGTAATGTCATTTTTCCAACGCACTCCAGGCAGACGCATCCCTCCCTGCGGGCATGGGAAGAGGCAACAGATTCCCAGTTGCAGAGATGCAAAAGGAATTGCGTTTGTGCAAACATATCATCAGCTCCCACATAGTGGATTTACCAACAGGAGTGACAGTGTGGGAGTATAGCAAGGAAGGATTTGTCTGTATTTGCCCTTTTTTCTCCAAGCGTTTGCATCCGCGTACTTGAGACGGGTGGTGGGCAGGACGGGTGCTTGGGCTTGACGCCCTGTGCGAGTGCCTCAGCTGTGGCACACAGGAACAGGCAAAGTGTTTTCCATCAGCAGCATGAAGCAGGGACAGCAGAGTTGATGTGCCAGTGGTGTCCTGGGCTTTCCTGCAGCTCCTGGAAGGCCTGGCACACACCCGGACAAACCCCTGCTCCCCGGCTCGGGAAGGCGCTGTCCTGCACCTCTCATCAATTTTCCACCTTCTCAGGATCTCAGACAGGGGATGGAAGTCCTGAGTCAATCAGATAACCACTGCCCAGAGCAGATAAATGGCACGTGATGTTGGAAAATCAATAAATTTGTCCAGTTAGTTCATTTGGGGGGGGGGGGGCAAAATCTCAAGTGTGAAAATATTTCTGCTGAAAACGGAAGCATTTCTGTAATGGTGTATCAATGCGGTGCACCTTGGCACATGTAACTCGCATGCACCACACTGTAATGTCTCTGAAGACTAGGTTACCCCTCCTAGTTCTCTCTTTCCATGCTAACAGCAGTGTTTTTTTCTTTTTATTTCCCTGAAGGAGAAAAATAAAAGCAATACACTTTTTCATGATGCGAATGTATTGGCCTCTGCGCTCGACCTGTTCATGGCTGGTACTGAGACCACATCCACGACATTGCAATGGGCTATCCTGCTGCTGATGAAGTACCCTGAGATTCAAAGTAAGACACCTTTATGGGTTTGCTTTTCTTACGTAGGGTACTGAAGTATTCTGCGGTGACTTCATAAGTGCTGCTCACCTGTAAAAGCTTCGTAGCCTCTTGTGCATCCAAAATCTGAGCATCTGGAACCTGTCCACCTCTGTTGAAGCGTTGTACGCTGCCATTCAGGACCAAAGGATCTGGGGGGTTGTTCTCTCTGCTCCCAGGGGCTTGGCCAACCTCCTGCCCTGGGGTAGTCCAACCAACAGCCAGCATGAGCTGGGATTTGGAGGTGCTTTACCACTGAGGGAAACTCACTTCATGCCTTTCTTGCGCCCTGCAGAAAAGGTGCACACAGAAGTTCAGCAAGTTCTTGGCCCTGGCTCCTTGCCTACCTTTGAGGACCGGAAAAACATGCCATTTACCAACGCAGTGATCCACGAGGTGCAGAGATTTGTCACCCTCCTGCCACATGTTCCACGGTGCACCTCTGTTGACACCCACTTTAAAGGCTACTTCATCCCCAAGGTACTTGCTGCTCTCCAGAGGAAGGGTGGGGTGCAGCACACCAGTGACCCACAGGGCAAAAGGAGGGGGGGAGCTTGAAGCACAGGGCTTTTGGTGGGGAAGAGCCAGTTCCCTAATCCCCCATCTCCTCCGCATCCGATGGCAGTGTGACTTCAGGATTATGCACACAACTTCCCATTTCCCATAACTCAGTCTTCGTAATCTGGAGTCTATTCCTTAGTCTCTTTGCTCTCCATTGCCGTTCATGCCCTGTAGAGCAGTTCTGCCTCTGGAGTACCACGACATTGTCTCATTGCCTTGCTTGAGGCACGCAGAGAGCAGCTGGGCAGGAAGGAAGCCTGGCCCACGTCTGTCTTCTCCTTCACAACTCAGGAACAGCCAACAGCCATTGTTGTTTAATCAGATATTAATCAGTAATTCCAGTGAACTGGGTATCCACACTAACTGAGGGTCATATGGTCATGTACAAGCCCAGAAATTAGTTCTTCAGAGGTGGAGGTTTGCTTGCAGACAGAGCCCAAAGGGGGGAAAGGTTACGTAGCTGAATGGGCAAAGCCAGAAGTTTGCTACATCCACACATGCTAAAGCAGAGCGTGGTTGTGCTGCAGGGAACAACAGTGATTCCTCTGCTCAGCTCCGTGCTGCTGGATAAAACGCAATGGGAGATGCCAGATGAGTTCAACCCCAACCATTTCCTTGATGAGGATGGGAACTTTGTAAAGAAGAAAGCGTTCCTGCCATTCTCCACAGGTAACGAAAGCATTTGATGCTGCACAGGGCACTGAGTTCCCAGTGCCCCTCAGAAGATATTAGCCAAGTGGCAGGATCTGAGCCTCTGTTGGGAACAGCACAGACATCAGTGGTGGGGATGGTTTAGAAATACCTGCCCTGGGTTTTGATGACTTGCAAACAGCCCCTCAGCCCACACTGGGAGGCACACCGGGTCCTGGTGTTTAAAGACACCACTGGGACCTACAGAAGACTCAATGCCTTCAAGCAAGAGTTCAGCCTTCCCTCTGCCTTGGGAAGGCTGGTTTCTAGGGCATCCCAGATCAACTCCTTGCAGGCTCAGAGTGAAACAGCCCTGTTCAAATGCCTGTAGGAGACCAATGGCGATGGCTGCTGAATATCACGCCACGCTATTTTGCATTTCTGTGGCCTATACTGTCCCTCACACTATTGCTACCGTGTAGTAGGGAAGAGGTGTTGGGTTGAGGCACCACTTACCCAATCACTCCACCAACAGCCATGCGTTTGGCATTGCAGGGCGGAGAAACTGCATTGGAGAAAGTCTTGCCACGATGGAGCTCTTCATCTTCTTCACAGGCTTGATCCAGAAATTTACTTTTAAGCCTCCACCTGGGGTCAAAGAATCTGAGCTGGACATGACTGCAGAGGCTGGATTCACCATGAGACCCCATCCACAGTGTGCTTGCGCTGTGCTACGCCAATAAGCCCAAGGCTCTGAACTGAGAAAAATCCACATATTTTTTTCGTGAAGAGCCTAGCAGATGCACAAAGGAGAAACCAGATCCCTGTGCAGTAGATACAAGTAATGTCTTCTTTCTCAAAGCCTTGCAAGTACTGGCTATGTGCTTAAAATATCTGTTGAACAAATATTTTCCTAAGAAGCAAAGGAGGGCTGGTGGGTAAGGTTACCTGGAAAATTCCAGCCATGACTGGAAATGACAGGACAGCCACTACTTTACACATCAAATACACAACATAAGAAAGTTATTCTAGTTCTAAGCTTCTGGGAGAGGATGCTTCTCAAGAGTGGATCATTTCTTCACTTGGAGAGCAATATTAGATACAAATGTTGGTCATCGTCTAATCCCTGTTCTTCTCCCATTCCCTACTGCACACGGGATAAATTATTCCCAGATACCTGCTCTTTCTATGTCTGATGGATGCTCTTCCAACACTTTCCAGACTTCTGGTTTTGAATCCCAGATGCCAAACACTGGACTTCTTATGTTCCCCTTACTCTGAGGGACCTTAGCACGGTTCCTTGGGAGTCTTTGGCCCTTTCTGGGTGCAGGCTCTGCTACGCCTGCACTGATGTAGGACTTAACAGCTCTCCCCAGACAAGTGAAGACACTCCCCCCGCCCTACATTTTTACAAAGGTAGCTCAGATACATAAGCACAACTTCTTTTCAGAGCACTGAAATGTGTGAACAAGCAAGCACGCAAACATTGTGAAGATGCTTCTAAAATGCTCTTTCCTTAAGCAGCACAGAAGCTGGGCAGATCCAGGCAATGTGACAGAAAACTTGTCCATCTCCCCTTTCCTTACTTCTCCCAGCTTTCTGTGAGATTTGTCAGGACCCTATCTTTTCCCGACATTCCCATCTCTTCTTCTCCTCCTCTGAGATGGCTAGAGATGGAGCCTCACCATATCCCCACATCAGTGAAGGCCACAGGACTCTCTTACAGCAGCTGGCTTCTTCCTTGGTCTGAAATGCTGAGTGAAGGAGCTGATGGGACTGCGATGGCAGGTGGGTTGAGCCGTTGTCCCACAAAGTGTTTGAGCCAGTTAACCCCTGGGAGGGATCCTAGTCTGCTGGAGGAGGAGGAGGAGGAGACTCCTGTTCCCTGCATACTCCCTGATTCTTCCAGGTGTAAATAAATAGCGTATATGTCTTTGCTCCCAGCCTTGTTTGCAGATGAATGTGGTTGGACTCGGGGTGCGTAAAGCCTCAAGGCTTAGCTCTGCCCTCCTTATACAGCCCAAATTTGTGGCTGGCAGGGCGTTTTACCCCAGTAAGGACTGCAGGACTGGGCTGTCTGTGACTCAGAGGGATCGTGGTGCCATCTCGTGGCAAAAAGAAAATAGAAATTATATTCTGCACAAGGCTTATTGCTCTGGCCAGTGTGCGGAGGGGCTGCAGATACAAGGCAATCCTCGGTTTTACAGATCTTTACAGTTGCTGCAATCCTTGCGCCTGATCATTGCCCCTCTGAGAACAGGAGCCCCTGGTCCCAGCATCATGCAGCGCTAGGGATGGCAAGCTGGGCTATGGGACATGCTGCCCAGCCAGCTGCGTGTGGCATGAGCCACAGACACAGTGTGAGATGGATTTGTTCAGATCTTACTTTAAAAATCAAGCCACCTGCCCCGCCTCGAGACGTCTGCCTTCAGTTCAGGTCCGTGTGTTGCAAGGCACAAACATGTTTTGCAGCTAGAGGGAAGACCCTCAGGGCCACTGAGGAATGTGGAAATGGTATTTCCACGCCTGAGAGCCAATGTTTTCTGCTAGATAAATCTGTAGCTGAGTCATAATCAATGTTCTGCCATCGTTTGGCTGAACAAATAAATGGGAGGCAGGCACTTTCTTTTGCAGAGATATATTCAGCTAACTCAGTGTGCTGGGGAGTGATCACTTCCATCCGTCTGCTAACTCAGGCACAAGTAGAATGCACTTTTCAAAGGAATCAAAGAAACCTGTTTCCCGTGGATGTTTGCACCTGGTAGCTCATGGCTCTTGTTGAGGCACGGGTGTTGCGCAGTCTGCTGGATTTCTGCACGTGGCCAGCACCGCCGCAGGCTCTGCTCGGCCTGCCGGGGAGTGCCAGTGCAGAAGGTGGTCTCCAAAAAGAGCAGGCTCTGAAGGCTGCTATGCCATGTAGGAAGGGATCCATCTCTCACCTTCGAAGCCAAGCCCCCAAGAGCCCATGGCAAGAGGTCAGGTCTGCGGTTCCACCAGTGAACAGTCCTGGCCTCTCTGAAGCCAAAGGCAAAAATCTTATTTTATTTCAGCAAGGCCACGACTTCCTTCATTGAGTTGGTATGTGGCTTGCTCCTCAGTTGCTTTACCTGTCTCTCCCTGCCTTCCCTGATGAAGAGCCCATCCTGCTGCCACCACTCCTCAAGAGTGACATTGCCAGCAGGTGATGCTTTGGGAAAACAAGAGGTGAGAGGCTCAGGGTCCAAGGCACGAAGCAGAGGGACAGCATCAGCATCAGTGGAGCTGTGGTGGGAAACTTTCATTCAGCCTCTGCAAGCAAGAGGCAAAGACAAAAGAAGTGGGAAACCAAGGCTATCCCCAGGACTGACTAGTAGCCCATAGCCGAGCACAAAAGGAAAGCTCTTTGCCCTGGAGAAACCACTCTGCAGATATGGAGGGTCTCCTGTTGAGCTGTTTTTTAAGTAGGATCAGGGTACGCAGAACCTGTGAGATACACGTAAAATTTACAATATTCGTTGTCACTCTGGGCTCAGGATCAACCTTTCATGGCATTTGCATTTCTGTGTAATGCAAAGTTGGGTGGCAGGATATGAAATATAATGAAGACATGGGACTAAAACTTTATTGGGTTCCCATGAAGGGGGAAACAAACAGTATGATAAAGCACTTGATAAGATAATGCATATGGAGAAGTGGCAATTCACAGGCAGATAAGTGGATAAAAAAATTGCCTGAGCTATACGTCAACTGGAATAAGATTGCAGAATATGATGGGAGGTAAGAGTGCTACAGTCAGGACAACAGCCAGACAAAGCTACAGAGGAAAGGAAAACAACCAAAACCAGGTCTTATCTAATCCCTGATCCTAATTCTCCTTGTGTACGTGCGTGCAATACAAGCACTGTGAAATTAGACACCATTTGCATGGCTGGTTCCAATGGCCAGACCATCCCAAATACCAGATTGACTGCTGATGTTGGCTGTTAACATTACCCAGGAGGTTTGAAAAGAGGAACAGTGTTTGCTCCTATTTAACAAGGTCAGGAAAGACAGAGATCCATAAACCTAGAAATGGCTCTAGTTTATTTTTCCGTATCAGTAGCCTTTTATGATCGGTTGCTGGAACAAATCTCACGTGGCCTTATGATTTAGACTGCAAACTTAGAAATGTAGATCTTGTTTCATTCAGACTGTGAAGCAGTGTTGATCTCGGTGGTAGCATCGCTTGCTTATCTAAACAGGTTTGCAGACTCTGGGGCATCTTTTAGGACACTGTTCCAAGGCAGAAATAACTTCGTCCTCAAATCACATGAATCAATCAGTTTTTTCCACTCTCAGTGTTTGACTTGGCTGCCTAGGCTGGGAGGATTTTGCTAGAAGCTATAGGTAAGTAGAAAGCTTGGAAAAGTTCAGGAGGTACCTATGGATGGTTCAAGTGTGTGACCCACAGTGTATTTCTGTGGCTTCCAGCAAACGGCAGTACGTCTTTCATCAGGTTTTCGGGCAGATTTCTGTGACATTATGAACCTCACTGTTTTGCCATGGGAGCCTGGGTGTCACACCTACTAATCATGGGCTTGCATCCCCTTCACCAGACCACCTCCTTGGCCCCTTCATCAGCTCCATGCAGTCTGTCTTGAGAAGAAATCTGTGTTTGTCAACCACGATCATGGTTTCGAATTCATCATATGCACCTCCTCACAGCACGGGAGCAAAGAGGGGGTCAGCAACCTATGGGGCAGATGTAGCGGTGGAGAGGAGTGGAATGGGAGTGGATGGAGACAGTGGGAAGGGGATGTGAAAGAGGGTGATGTGGCAAGTCCTAGCACAGCTAAGTTTGGTCTAAGCAGCTTCCCCACTTCAGCAAGGCTGTGGTTATTCACGCAGGACAGCACAGGTTGCCTGAGGCTGAGGCCTTAATGTGAAAGTCGTTTGGGGGACGGTAAGGTCCAAGTCAGACTCTGAAACTCCTGGCTGGGGTTGAAAAGTAAATGTCTGCAGCAACCCTACGAAGAAGACAAACAGTTCCATCTTGGCGAGGCTTTCTCCAATGCAGTTCCTTCGTCCTGCAGATGAAAGCAGTGTGTTTACTTGACGGAAAGATCAAACTAGAATATTTGCCATGGACACATTAGCACCTGAGGTGTTGCAATGGAAGCAGGAGTGAAACCTTGAAACGCACCAGAGCATTTTGGAGCCCGTGTTGCTAAAGGTAGCTGTCCCAGTCAGACTGGTACCGTGTGCCTGCCTGATCTCTTGTATCCCACACCTACCTGCAGCAGCAAGTCACAGCCATGCTACAGGGTTATTATGCATTTATGATGTCCTGTCTCCTCTCCTTAGCCCTTCCAACCCTCTCAGCATCTTTAACCCTTTCTTTTTAAAAAGCGGCCTGATAGAAAAATGCCACTTCCTCCCAAAGCGGAATGGTTTGAAACTCATTTTTCCTAACATCCCACTTCTACAAAAGACTGTTTCTTCTTTCCTTTTCTTCCCAGCCCTTGTATGATGGTCCCTGTGCGTGTGAAGCACTTGGTGGACAGCGAGAACCGGCTTCCTAACGTCAGAAGTCACTGCTGAGGGGCTGTGGTTGGAGCACGTTCTGGAATCCCTTCAAGCCATCCTTTCAGAGGAACAGCTGGAACGTGTAAGGTTGCACGGGAGAATTTGTAGGATTCTGCAGGAAATCTCCCTTTATAGTACTTACAGGCTCCTGCAGTGCTGAGATTTGTTAAACTCCCACCAAGACTGCTCCATCCATCTGTGCCCTCTCACAATGCACGCTGCTGCAGCCATGGAGGGCATGGGCTGCGGGCAGGCATTTCTGGAAATGGGCAAACTTTGGGAGCATTTATGCCTGTCATGAAGGCAATGTGTAAGTGATACTTCTTCTTTTAGGATGGCTCAGGGGAGAGTTTCTGATATCTAACAACTGTTCCTACCATTAGCTCAGTTTAAGTGCCAAGGGGGTTGGGTTTGTGAGCCTCCGGGGAAAGAATGTTAATCATATTTTGCAGGTGAAATTTAGATTAAAAAAATAAAAGAAAAAGTTTGTCATGACCAAAATGACAGATGGAGGTAGTGTCAGGATGCTAAGTGCTCTGTCACCTCCCCTAATCACGGGGCTGTGCTTCTTCCTCTAAAAGAACAGGTCTTGCTGGGAATCCTTGGGAGCTCTTAAAAGTGCCACTGGAAGAATCACTGTCCAAGGTGATTTTTGGGAACAATCCAGGGCCTTGGATTTAAGATTTCACAGAGAGAGTAATACGGTCTGGTGTACTCTGTCCTGTATTGGGTCTCTGCTGGCTGTAATACTCAGCCAAGGTGCAAGGCTTATTGGGACTCTCTTCCTTGGCTCTGGTGGGCATTGGATGAGGACTTGTCGAGACCCATTGACACATGGGACTTGCCTCGAGGCAAGACAGGACTTGAGGGTCCCTGGATTGTACCTTCACTCCCATGGGAGCTCAAGAAACCTCATGCATAGCTATGCTGGCAGCCCCACCAGACCGAGTTAAAGGCAGTACTTAGCCATGAAGACCCCATTAGTGTATATTGTAATAAAATGGTCCTGCCATAGCCTCAGCTCTGTGCAGATCAGCCCTTTAGTTACCTGTGGAGAAGGGCAGGAAAGCCTCTCTCTTTACAAAATTCCCTTCAGCATCAAGAAAGTGATTGGGGTTGAACTGATGTGGTGTCTCCCATTGTGTCTTATCCAGCAGCACTGAGGTGAGCGACGGGATTACAATTATACCCTGGAAGAAAAGTACACGAAGGCACAAAAGATAGCAGAAGTGCTCTGTTTTGGTTCATTTTGTGCCACAGACTTTGGTGTCCCAGGAGATTTGCTCCCCCTGGGGTAGGTGGAGACCTGAGGGTTTTATCCCATCAGCCAGCAGAGAGAGAAGTCAGTGAGATTTTCCCAGCAGTGCCAAGGATTGAAGCCAAATCCCACGTGGTGCTGTGAAAACCTCAAGCAGAGGGTCAGATCCTGTAAATTCCCTGGCAGATACTTCACTGTGCAGATGGCATTCAGGAGGTAAATCAGGGTCACTTGTGCAGTGAGGAAGTCCTGAGCATGAGACGGACTGAACTGAGTCCTACAACAGCGGTCTCTCTGGACTCAACATAGTCACTGGAGAGGAAGAAACTCTTCTGGGGGTGATTTTGGATGCTTACATTGGGCTTCAGTCCTATAATTCCCTCTAAAGAAACGAGTCTTTAATGGCACTGGCAAAAACAAGGTGGTGCGTTCCTGGGCTGGAGCAGTTACCTACCTTGGGAAGGAAGTAGCCCCTGAAGTGGGTGTCAACAGCAGTGCAGCGGGGAACGTGGGGCAGGAGGGTGATAAACCTCTGCACTTCGTGTAGCACCGCATTTGTAAACGGCATTCCGATCCTCATACGTGGCCCAGCTTCCAGCTTTGACGGTTCTCCCAATCTCCTCCTGCACCTTTTCTGGAAGGAACAAACACAGTTGGATTCCAGCAAGGAAGCCAGTTCCCAATTCGGTTTTGGGAAAAACATATTTTTCTAGGGTCTGGAGGGAGAGGATTCTTAAAACGCCAGCCTGGGTTTCCCTGCTCTATTTCTAGTTCAGGCATGTGGATGGGTTGTTTCCCCAGCATCATACTTCGATCTCCACTCATCCTCTCTCCCAGCAAGGCACAGGGACTATTTGGTTGTGACTTTGATCAGCATCTAATTACATCAGGAGTTCATAATAATAAACAGATGGGATTCAGCTCTTAAGGCAAAAGAGCTCCTGTGGATCTGAGGCCAGGCCTCTCCCCTCCCCATATCTGCCACGCCACGGATGGAGCGTAGGCGAAAGGAGCTCACTTTGAATCTCTGGGTATTTCATCATCAGCAGGATGGCCCACTGGAGCGTTGTGGCTATGGTCTCTGTTCCTGCCATGACCAGGTCGAGTATGGATGCTATTAAGTTGTCATCATGGAAGAGGCTGTCTTTCTTGTTTTTCTCCTTGAAAAACACAAGTGGTAAGAAAGGTCTTAAAACCATCAGTCTTAGTATTCAGCAAGCTTGGGAAATACTGCATAGCCTACGACACTGTTGACTATGATCTTGTGTTTGTGAACTGGGTGATAAAATAGACCTGATCTTGAATGCACAGCATTCACCAAAGATGGGAGCATCAAAGATGGAAGGTTTGGAGTGGAGTTTTGATTTGGCATCCATCTCCACCCAGAAGCAGGCTGAAGCCCAGGGCCAGGTGCTGTTCACAGACACAGCCTCACAGGTTTGGAAAGAATCATAGAATCATTTAGGTT